ATTTAAAATGGTATAATGAAGTATCACTATTAATAATCATCAAAATTTGCGTTTACATATTTGTAAAAAGTCAATCACACGCATGAATGTAACGTGAGAGGACTCGTTGTATAAATAGTAAATGATTATAATTAATTAATAGACATGCGTGTGTGTCTATATTTTCTCTATTAACACCCTAAGTTTATAGATGAGATGTAATACAATTCGTACTCCTTTAATTTCACTATGTATTTGAACTGTCTTATATTGCTTTCTAAATTCTAATAAGTGTTGTTCTCGTCAGAAGCATATGATAAAATTAAAATGATAGAGTAGTTGAAGGGTCGTAAATTTTATTTCTTCCCAGACTCGTTTTACTTCTGTCTTTTTCTCTTGAAATAGAAAGAGCAAAGTATCATTTTCAGAAATTGCCAGCAAACTCTGAAATTTGTGCTTTGAGTTTTATGTGTATCCCAAGATGTGCAAAATTTAAAACTGCTCGTGAAAACAGTCGTTGCTAAATTATATTTTATATAGGTATAAAGCTAAACCGCTAGTTCTTCCTATACACACCATATCAGAATAAACTAAACCACTAATCCTTCCTATACACACCAAATCACAATGTGCAAGGACCTTGTTGATCTAAAACGATATAGTTGTATTTGTAACGTGGTTTATAAATAAGAAAATCGATTTGATCCAAAAAGCAATAAAGAAATAAGATTAAAACTAAGATTTAACGACTGAGATTAAAAAAAGATAACATGCTTGATTTTGAAGTAAGCCTTTCCGAAATCATAGACGGAAATAATAAGAAAACAATGATAAAGCTGTTACTCTGAGAGCTAAATAGTAAAATGTGAGAATCAAAATAGTAAAGTATAGCTTTTTCGTACAGATTTTCTTCTCTTAGTATGGCTTTTAACCCCACTATTTATAGCTCTATCTAGGGAAACAAGATCCTAGTATCAAACCCCTATTTAAATGAGAATAAAAGTGATATTGATGAATATATAAACAACATGCCTTGAATGCAAATATTCGCTCATTTAATGTTAGTGAATATTCCCTAATTGAATGTTATCTGATGGCAAACCTCTGAACTTCTATCCTTGAGTACATTCTCTTCGAAATTTATCCGGTACTGGTCACACCTGTTGTATACGGTATTGGTTGTTTCCCGGCTCGTCATTTACCTATCTTCGGTTCCACGTGTCATGTTACCATTCGACAATCTGTTATCAACCAATTTTACCACATACAAATAGTCCCCCTACTTTTTGGTGACGTAACTTAGTGTTACCGGGAAGTAGGTAAAGATTCCTTTCTTGGCGGAAAAGTTCCTGAACAGTCTCTGACGCTTGAAAGGACGAACGCCTTCTCGTATTTAATACCGCGAATACGTATTGCCCCGCAATTCAACAAATATTTCGCCGATTTTCAAGGTAATCATGACCACAATTTATGCCGTCTATAACTTCTCTGCTATTCATCATTTTTACTTTTACAACTTTTATAAGTCTTTCTTCTTTTCTGCATTTGCTTAGAAACCTTTCACACCTTCAACTTTCTCATAATTTTTTTTTGAAAACCTTTTACCACTATGTCTTCTTACATTGCTTTCTTCAGAAACAACGGCCATCTCTTCGGTGGAGGCCCGAAGAAAAACAAAGACAAGGAGGTCGACGTCAAGTCTGATCCTCCCACTGTTAGCACCATCATACCATATCATCTCAGCATCGCAATGATCTTCAAGAAAAATCCCTTCTGCAACTTCTCAAGGCCACCGGTTTTGGCTAGTTCGTAGGTATCCTACCTCCATTTGCCCGTCTAGTATCCCAATTGTGAAGGAGGACTACAACTGCCCTAATATTGAAATCCTCACCCCAGATATGGTAAAGCAAGTTACCTACTCCAAGGCATGGACCAATGGGTTTAGAAAATTCTAGAAATTACAATTTCAGAATCCCGACGGTGGAAGGAAATGTCCCTCTAATACGGGTGGAAGGCCAAGCACCATCGTAAGCTAAGTCCTTCTTTCTTTTATTCTCGTTTGGACACAATAAATCTCATGAATAAATTGCTAACTCCATTTTTGCCTAATACAGGGCTTCTGAGGGGCTCTGTCATCTACCCCGAAGTCGACACCTTAGATGACCCCGAGAAAGCCAGGAAGGTGTTGCAAAATGCCCTTGCCCGAAATAGAGCTCGTGGATTTGTCCAAGCCTCCGGTGAAGGTGCCTCCTCTCTGAGTCCCCAGTCCGAGAACAAGAACCGAAGAGAAGACGCTCCTCATCGGTTGTGCCTCAAGAGAAGAGGGCAAAGAAAATGCCATCTGAGCGTGCCACAGTGGTCCTAGTTGATGAAGGGGAAGCCAGTGATGAAGAGTCTTTCCTTCAAAGGAGATCTTTATCAGCTCAACCGGATGCTCAGCCGAGGGAGCTTCAAAATCCAACATTAGAGGAAACTCAAGCGCTTTGAGGGGAGATAGACCTAGTCGAGAATGTTGATTCTCGCTTCACGACTACAATTATTGTCTCTGGTCCAAGGGGTTCAGACCTTGAGCCTCTTCTGCCCCCAACCACCAAGCAAATAACAATCAACACCGACGTTAGATGCTCTTTCGCCAACAACACCAACTGCATCTCCTCTACCGGCACCAGCTAATCAAGAAAGGGATGCCTCTCCTCCTCGGTCTCCTGACCACGGGAACTTAGGGAGTACCTATGCTATACCTTCTCAAGATCCCCAAGGGAGGCGAAGCGCCACCCTTTCAGTTTTGAAGAAGTGTCATTTCCTTTCCAGGCCGGTGGAGCTTGCCAACTATATGAAGTCGTTGGCCTTGGCGAAGGATTAGAAGAAGATGGGCACCCTTTCTGGGGAGTGCCTGATAAGTAACAATATGCACTGTTTGGCGGATGTACCATACTAGTTTCCTCCTATCTTTTTTTCTGCTTACGTGTTACAATGGTAATACTAGCTTTAACCTTCTCTTTATAGGCCAACGTTCTTGCTTCTGACGACCTGCAAAGGTAGATCCTTGACAAACAAAGACTTGCTTCTGATCGGGATCAACTCTTACCTGAATGGAACCAGATTGTCGTGCATCTCCCGGTGCTGGTGGCAAATGTTACAGAGATGGACGAGCTTGAGGCCCGGTTATAGTAGAGCGAGTAAGATGGGATGACCCACAACCAAGAAGCTGCTCAATTACATGAAAAGCTTAAAAAACTAAGGCTAAGTGGGTTGAACTTCACGCTGCTACCATCTTTGTTGTCGAGCATGAGTCTACCTTTGAGGAGAAAATCAATAACTTGAAGGCCAACTTGCGCTGCAAAACCGAAGAGGCCAACGCTGGCGAGGAGAAGAGGGCAAAAAATAGAAGAGGCTCATGGAGTAAAACTGGCTCCACTCATTTTCAAATGTTGAGCTTGACTCATGCCTTGGCGCCATGAGAGCCGAAAGAGAAGGGCTTCAGGCCGAAATCAAGAAACTCCGAGCAAGACTCCAGGACCAAGAAGATTCCCTCGTCTTCGAGAAGACTTACACCATGTACCACATGAAGAGGAAGACCTTTGAGATGGCCAAAGCTAGCATTGCCGATATTGATGATTGCATTGCCAAGGCTCGAAAACTAGAGTTAACTGCTCGTGAAAATCTTCCTACTCGGCCCATTGCAAATGACTTCTCGAATACTAGTTTCGAGTATTTGGGAACCGAAGGGGAGCCTAAAGAAGATAAAGGCCTTGAACGGGTTCATGTCCCCAATAAAGTCGTCTGAGCTATCATACCTCTTTTTCCAAAGATAGAGAGTTTTTCCAATTAAAGTGATATAATTCAAAATGAGACTATTTATTTAATTAGAGTCACCACTTGGAATAATTATTATGGTTTTTCAAGTCACCGGTTTATTTTAAAATCCCAAATCGAGGAAATTGACTCTATTTATGGTCTGCTGACAGAGAAGATCGGGTAAGGAATTCTGATAATTCGGGAGAAGGTGTGAGGCACTCCCGAGTTTCGTGATTTTAGCACGGTCGCTTAATAATTAATATTTGGCTTAATTATCTTAATTATTATATGTTTAAAACTTTTTATGCGTTACCACTTCTATACCGCTTTTAATTATTTTAAATAATTATATAATTATTTGAACAATTCACGGTGTCGCGCACTTGTCGCAAATCACGCCACGTGAAACGTAGCCGTGATTCACAACATGTTTATTTTAATAATTTGAAGTTGTGGTCAAGCAGCGTGAATGCGCACTTGAGTTGGGATTTACGTATCATGACTATGCCACGGGAACTGTACCCATAGTCAGGATGATTTTTTATTAATCATATTAGCGTGTTCTTGAATGGTTTACTTTCCTAAAGCTACTTTGAGATTAAATTGTGCCAGGTAGTATGAAATTCATTTAGAGTCATATATATGATTTGATTGAGTACCTATGAAAAATGCATCTGGAACTTAACCGTTGTGATTTATTTAAGGAAGATTGATGAGTGATGTAGAGAAGAAGCCTTATTCTATTTTACTTAATTTCTAAAGTCAAATAAAAAGAAGTTGAGTAGGAACCAGTTCGGGTTTTAAAGGCACATTTGTGATGGATATTGTTACACAAACAAATACTCTCTCACGCCTCCTGTAAATCTCAAATCCAATTAAACATTAATCAAACTTATGACTTGATGCTATTGCCTTTCAAATCTTTATTTAGCATGTGACTCTCAACTTTAGATCTTACTCTAAATGAATAAGCATATCCATACTTCAACATACTTGAGCACAGATCTGTTGGTATATAAATTAATTCTCAAAATCACAAGTCGCACAAGTAAACTCATTATAAATTAAATCTAACACATGAGGAATCTGTTGAAACACTCAAAGGCAAACAAACATTGAATCGACAGCTAGACACTATTTCAAGTAAGAAACTGTAACGATTCCAGGAATCGTCATGAGAATGGAAAACAAGAATTAAAAGAAAGAAAGAAAGAAAATGCAGAGAAAAATAAATACTCAATTTTCATTCAACATAGCTATGAAAAAGGAAATACATGGAAATAAATAAGACAAGGCTCCTAATAAATGGGACACGTGGCAACTAATCCTATAGCCACTTGTAGGGACTGAAAGTGAAATAAGTACATGACTCAATTACAATAACAAAATGTAGACTAAACTATAATAACAAAACATTTTCTTCCATTCGTTACAATCCATCACCCTTAAAACAACCTTGTCCTCAAGGTTAGAAAAATTGAAATTTGAAAATGGGTGATTACTGTGAGGCACTTTTAAGTTTCTTGTCCTAGTGAGAATTCTTGAGCTTGTACTTAAAAAATTCATTCTTAACAAATTCATAGTGTAGGGAGAAAATAACATGAGCAGGGATATCTTTATTCTTTTTACCTAGTATCCATAAACTTCCTGCCAGCAATTGCAAGGACCACCATCATACAAAGATAAAGGCTTTTGACAGATTCCTCCACTTCATGGCTTACAACAGAACCCTTGATGTTTTAAACCAATATTCTATGAAAGAATGTTTGTTCCCTTCTCATGTTGGGTCTCAATGTTTGCTTCTGGTGTTGCACGATTTGGAGTAATTGCAAAAACACAAAGTGCCTCTAATACAAGCATTTCTATATCAATGAAAATCTTCTTTAGCCCCTAAGGAATGTAGTACTGTCTACTGCATAGCTCTCACTCTTACAGGCCTCTACTGACTTCACAGAGGAATTCCACAAAGGTCTTTTGAACATAGCTTCTAAGGAGTGAACTGGTAGCACTTTCATAGTAGTTCTTTCCCTGTTGAAACCACTCCAATAAGCAGCTGATTGCATATCTACTGTAGCAACATCTCCAATTATTACGATACTATCATAAGCAAAATCATGATTCTCATATCATGTGTTCCACTTTAAAGATTGGCCAGCAATGGCATTCACACTCGATAGTCCATAGCCCTTACCAAGATCAAACGTGAAAACACTTTCCTCACCCCACCAAAAGACAAAGGCTTCAGCTACTACCACTTTGTGATAATCTTCTCCAGCACGAAATGATACCTCAAAATTAGTCGAGGAAACAGATATAGCCTTAATAAGCTTGAGAGCTTCTTCTAGGAAACCAACTCTGCCAAGATAGATATTACTCACAGTAGGCAACACCTCATCACTGACCTCCAACCTTGATTCAATAAAGGTTCCTCCTCCCAAATTGTAAGCCACAATAACTTTTCTATTCGAACCTCTAAACTGCCTAATACTTGTTACAGAACAAATGAACTGTTCAATATTGCACAGAATAATCAAGGGAGATACTATATCTGTGATCTCTTCATAGCATCTGATAAACCTAATCCTAAGAATTAAAGCAACAACCCAAGCAAGCGCAACAACTAAGGTATCAACTTCCAAGCAAAGACTGCAGAGTTAACAATCAAGGATTGAAAGTTCCCAGTAGAATCAATCTCAACAGAATGACTGACTTCAGAAGAAGGGAAATAGAGAAATATAGAGGAAGAGAGATAAATAGATAAATGGGAAGATTGATAGATAAAGAGATATAGAAATAGAGATAAGGTGACGGAGAATAGGATGAGGAGAAGAATAAATTGTAAGGAGATTCTCAAAATGATTATGTAAGAAATGATCACTCTTCCGTGAAGAAGAGTTTGCGAGAGCACATGATAAAAACCTGGTTGCTAGTACCCTCATCTTCCCTGTGCCCAACAAGGTATCAATGTGATTCCAATGAAAACAAGCATGTATAAGCATCCTAATGTGGACATAAAACTAGCAGTAAAAGAACTTTGTATTGATTCATCCGAATCAAACATACCTCGAGCTAAATCAGTTAATGTTATTGCCACGCCCACTTCAGATGCTTCATTTGATTCACTCACAGATCCTACTAGCAAATATCTAGTGAGATTCACTTGTCTAGCCCAAGCAAAAGTAATGTCGCAACATAATGAAAGAGGAGGGCCAACGACCATATTCAATGTTAATTCCTCCAGGTTAAATACAATGTGCATCTGGAATGACTTTGTCTCCTCTGTCTCGTCATTCTTGAATTTGACCATAGCAATAGCTTCTTTTCGACTCACCACACTATCACAAACCATCTTGTCATGAACCGGATTAATTGTCTTGAACCAACTTGTCACGTTGTTCTTGAAGCGCCTGTGAGTTATTATCTTGAGTCGTTCACTTTTGTTCAACTCCTCTCGCATGGCCTGATTAATAGCACTAGAGAATCTTCCTCTTAGCTCAGATAGACAAAGTTCTGTTAATATAAAACTCTTCCAGTTGATTTCAATTTGAGCTTTGGTAAGAGCTTCATCGGTCAATGTCACGATACTAGCAGGAAGTCCCGCTTTTTCTCCCTGAAAATATTTATCAAACACCTGGGTCTCTTCATTTTCAGAATTTTCTTCATTGTCACTTTTGATCTCAATTGGTACCTCCTTATCCTTAGATAGAACCTCACCCTCCCTCGTTCTCATTGACCAAAATTCAGTAGGCAACACAGTTTTGTTCTTTTGAGGTTATTCAAACACCTAGTACTTATTACAATTAGAAAATGCGAGGGATGTATGATGTATCTCGGTAATTTCAGTACCCAATACTGGCGTAGCAACTGGCGAAACAATTTCATTCAATTGGGGACTTTTATCAAGCACTTGGCGTCCATTGCTTTCTAAACCTTCATCATATTCATTGTCATCTTCTGTGGGAAAGTCCTCATCTCTATAAGCTGGTTTCGATGCATTTTGGTTAGGAATGGACAGTAAAGGAAACAATGGTGATACCAGGGAATCAGCAGTGACGTTCTGTGTTGGCAACCGTGGTGGCAATTTGTCAAACACCTGATCTTCCTTAATTTCTGAATGTTCGCTTACTAAATATTCCTCTTCCATTGTTGAATCATTGCTTGCTAAGGAACGATCAGTCTCAAAATGGTCATATAACCCATTTCAAATGCACCAAGAGGTGCTTTAAGTGGTTGAAAATTTATTTGTGAGCAATTAGTCCCCAAATAATCGGGACAAAAGTTGAGCAAGCTGTCTAGCCTAGCGGCAGTCATAGACACCAGAGAACCATCACGGAACTGAACGAAATAGAAGCCCGGATTGTTATTGTCGACCTGATAAGCATATGGAACCTGGTAAGAGTAAGCATTTGTGGTTGAATCGAGATAATTCTGCCCTCCATCCGCTGGGTTGAATCCACCAGTGAAATAACCATAGGAACCTCCATAAAAACTTAGAATTTATACCGGAATACTGATGATATGCATACGGGTCACAGAAAACCCACTGCTCACTCTCCGACCTTTGAAAGTCATAATGATTTGGTGAACTATTGAAGGTGCGGAAACGATTTTGATACCATTCTTCTGCAGTTTTTTGTTTGTTCTGTCAATAAAAGCTTGAATCTGCTGCTCGAATTGATTCTAAGCTCTGCCGGAATCCACAATTTTCTGTCTATCCTCCATTAACGAAGATGAACAGCCGAGAATCGTCGGCTCTGATACCAAATGTAACGATTCCCACGTTGGAATCGTTGAAAACAAGAATTAAAAGAAAGAAAGAAAGAAAATGCAGAGAAAAACAAATACTCAATTTTCATTCAACATAGCTATGAAAAAGGAAATATATGGAAATAAATAAGACAAAAACTCCTAATAAATGGGACTAAATGGGACACGTGCCAACTAATCCTATAGCCACTTGTAGGGACTGAAAGTGAAATAAGTACAGGACTCAATTACAATAACAAAATGTGGACTAAACTATAATAACAAAAACTTTTCTTCCATTTGTTATAGAAACAGGAGTCCGGTCATCGATAAATACAACAAAATACAAAGGGCTCTTCTGAGTTTACCTCTTAGCTAAAGAGAGCAACATGAACAAGTTCCGGTACAGAACAACATCAAACAGCAACAAACATCCACAAAATTCGAGATTCAGCAGCCTTTTATAGATCCAGGGAGGAGGAATTTGAATTTTGAAACTTCAGTAATCAATTACTCCCCAAATCTTCTTCGAAATCCTAGTTTTCTTTTGTTTTTGGCCCTCTTTTTTTGTGATTTCAGATCTTCATTTGAGCGCTTTTTAGTGTGAAGGAAGTTAGGATGCGTGAATGAATGTGTATCCATGAATCCAAGAGAGGTGAGAATTGTGTGTGCAGAGATAGTGAATATCGTGTTTTTTTTTTTTTTGCGTGAGTCTGGTCAATGCGTGAGAGGATAGGGGAATTAGGGGCGGCTAGAGTGTTTTTGTGTGAAGGGGGTGGATTATCTCTATCTCTGGTTTGGGGAGCTGGGGTCGTTTTTGTAAGTGAAGAAGAAGAAACGACGTAGTATTAATAAGGTACTACGTCGTTTGGGTGCCTGAAAGTTAAGGAGGCCGGACCAGGTAGAGAAATGGACTGGGGCGGGTAATGAGTTAGAATTGGGCCTGCTAAATCGGCACAACAGCCCTCGCCTCTCTCCTTCTTTGTTTTATTTTCAAATTTGAACACTTATTTAATACTCTAATTGTACCTATTTTGAACCTACAATTAAACTAATTAATTAGCTAAATTTGTGAATTAATGAAAAATTCTAATTAGTTAAAACCAAAATAAAATCCTTCAAACTAAAATGACTAATGATTTTGTGTGTGTGTGTGTGTGTGATTTTTATAATCTAGAAATACAATTAAATCATGCGCGTAAATGCAACTAAGATCTAAAAATGTAAAATATTTTTTTTTGTCATTTTTATGATATAAATTTTATTAAAGATTTACCAACATCAACACGCACAAAACAAATTAAATAAAAATAATAAAAAAATCCTAAAATTCTATAAAAATAAATAATAATAAAAAAATCCTAAAATTCTATAAAAATAATTAAAAGGTACTTTGAAATATTTAGGAGTAATTTTATATATTGAGCAAAAATTACATGCTCACATCCTCAACGTTGTGTGTGTTGTTAATATCATTAACTGCCATATCTGATTTCTACTAAGGAAAGAACCAAAACTTGTTAGCAATAAACAAATGAATCAAAGCAATTGTGCAACTGTCTATGCCCCACGGTGGGTACCAAACTGTTTACCACTAAAACGGTACAATTAAATTTGTAACGTTGTTATAGAAGCGAATCGATTTGATCCAAAAAGTGATAAAGAAATAAGATTAAAACTAAGATTTAGCGACTGGAATTAAAGAAAATAACATGCATGGTTCCGAACTCAGTCTTTGCGAGAGCAGAGGCAAAAATAATAATAAAGTAATGATAAAGTTGTTACTTCGAGAGCTAAACAGTAAAGAGTGAGAACCAAAATAGTAAAGCATAGCTTTTTCGTACATAATTTTTTTTTCTTACAATGGCTGTTAACCCCACTATTTATAGCTCTACCTAGGGAAACAAGATCTTAGGATCAAGTCTTCTTTAAATGATAATAAAAGTGACATTGATAAATGTATAACGACAGTCTTTGAATACAAATATTCTTTGTAATGGTCACTCATTTAATGTTAGCGAGTATTCCCTCATTGATGTTATCCGATGACAAACCTTTAAACTTCTATCGTCAACTGCTTCCCTTTGGAATTTATCTGGCACCGGTCACACCCGTTGTATATGGTATTGGCTGTTTCACCGCTCGTCCTTTGCCTATCTTCGATTCCACGTGTCATGTTATCATTCGACCATCTGTTATCAACTAATTTTACCCCATAAAGACCACTAAACCGACAACTTCAATCCCATTGGCATTCCTTAATCCCAAAGTGTTGAAAATTGCTTCATCTGATTAGAAAAACGCCCACCATTTTAGCTATCAAATATCTAGCTAGTACTTCAGCAATTATATACAGCTGCAAGCTAGTTGTGTTACATATAGTTATTATGTTACTTTTATGATCAATGCATCTTGTGATTATTATTTGTTGTAGGTAGATATTACTAAGTGTACTACAAAACGTTTAAAAAAGGCAGAATAGGTAAAGACCTCCCTAAACTTGACACTTTTTAATGAGCGTACACCTTAACTATACGTGATTTTAATTACCCCCTACGCTTATGTTATTATCCCCCTAACCTAGTAAACCTTCCTATCGTGAATACACGCACTGTATACATTTAAATGCTTGCTGATATGGTTGTACACGTTGGAATAATTCGGGTATCCAATTAGAATACCCGACCCACCTTTAAAATTAATCCCTCAAATTTAACCCATCCCTTTTACCATCAGTTCATTTGTTCGATAACATAGAAAAACTAGGGTTTCTCACCACTTCACTCCCATCAATGACAGAGACGATTATGAGTGCTTGAGCTTGATTTTGTGAGTCGATAGGGCTCTCCGTTGAGGTGCTGCTAAACGCTACTGGGTTTTTTTGATTCTCGCCAAAATTTCTACTGTTTTCACCCCGCAATTGAATGTATGTGTGCCTCTTTCTGTTAGGGTTAAATCAGGGCTTTTATGTTGATTGTGATTTTTGCATGCATGCCGATTAGGGTTAAATCAGGGCTTTTTTGTTGTTTGTTAATTTTTTTACTATTTATTTGTAATCTTGTGTATATGTATGTCTTGAAAGTTATTTTTTTACCTTTTTTTATTGTTGTGTAGGGTCCCATGGATACTAAGTATTTGAATTTAAGATGGAAAATTGGTGGGATATTGGTAGTGAGGTAGGACCTCTATATGTTGGGGGTAGGGTTGAACATGTAACTAATGTCGACTCTGACCACTTGTCAATATCAGTGTTATCTTATTATGCTAAGGATTTTAGGATTACAAAGTTAGGAAAAACTTATATTATGAGTGCTAAGGGTGGCAATTTGGTTGAATTAACAAAAGATATGGATTTAATGGACCTTGCTATATTATTAAATAATGGGGACACAATAAACATTTTTGTCTCTTCTGACTCACAATTTGAGGAGGTGGATGCTATAGAGGGTAGCCAAATAAGCCATGTGGGTGAGCCTTTTAATGCGTCTTCCAGCACACTACAAGACAATAGGGAATCTTTTGTTCCCTGTGGTCCTCCTTTAAATACTACTGCTGCAAATTCAGATCTAGGGTTACCTTCTCCTTTGAATACCACTCAAGAAGAGGATTCACCCATAGATTGGACTTCCTCTTCAGAGGAAGAAGAATCTGTTGTTGATGATGATGTAGAGGACACTACTGCTAATTCTTAACAGGTAGAACCTACTGGAGAAGAAGAAAAAATAGTATCTGGTGATGAATCTGAGAGGTCATTTGATTATGGAAGTGATGTCCATGAAGAGCTGAGGGTTGTTAAAGAAGATCTGAAGAAATATAGACAAAAGAATAGGAGAAAACTTAGGAAGGAAAAATCTGATGGATTTTTAGGTGAAGTTGGAGTTGATGAAGGTTATGAGAACATAGACCAGCCCAAAAAAAAAATATGAGAGACAAATTAGGAGGTGATGATGAGCCTTACTATGATAGTTCAGATCCAGATAGTTTTGAATCTGCATCAGATCTGGAAGGGAAGGGTGATCATGTATCTGATGATGATGTAGATGGGAAAGACAATATAGGACAGTTAAGGGGAAGGAAAAAAATAAATAGAGTGGTTTATGATCCTTCTGCCAAAATTGTTACTTGGCAACCGGGGATGGTATTTGAGAATGTGAAAGAATTTAGAGAAGCAGTTACCAAGTATGCTATAAAGAAAGGTATTCAGCTAGTTAAGGATCCCAATGAGCTACATAGGGTCAGAGTTAAATGCAAAACTGATTGTCCTTGGTTGTTGTTTGCTAGCAAGGAAGATAGGAGTACAAACTTCACAATCAAGACTTATAATCCAAGATACAAATGCCATAAAACCACTTACAACTATCTGTGTAATTCAAAATATGTGGCAAAGCAGTTCAAAGATAGAATTACCTCACAACCTAGAATTAAAGGTTGGAAAATTCAGGATATGGTGAGAAAAAAGCTTGGTTTATATGTTGGTAAGGCTGTTTATTTGAAGGCCAAAAATATTGTGTTGAAAGAAATTATGGGGGATCTTGTTGCTGAGATTGGTAGGATTCTGGACTATAGGGATATGCTACTCAAACAAATCCTGGTAGCACATGTGCAGTAAAATTGACAGACACAGATGATGGGCAAAAGCAGTTTTCCAGTTTCTACATTTGTTTTGTAGCTATGAAGCAAGAGTTCATGGAGGGTTGTAGGAGATGTATAAGGTTAGATGGATATTTTTTAAAGGGTGTTTGTAAAGGGCAACTGTTGGCAGCAGTAGCAAAGGATGGGAATAACCAAATGTTCCCAATAGCTTGGGCTGTTGTAGGCACTGAAAAAAGCAAGCATGGAGTTGGCTCCTCAGGTTATTGCAAACTGGTTTGAACTTGGGAGATGGCAGGGAACTCACCATGATAAGTGACATGCAAAAGGTATATATTGCTGTTTAAATACTACTATTTTTCTGGTTTAGAATACTACTCCCTCCATTCCAATTTATGTGAACCTGTTTGACTGGGCACGGAGTTTAAGAAAAAATAAAGACTTTTGAAATTTGTGGTCCTAAACAAGTCAAAAAGGTATCCAGAGTATTTGTGTGATTATAAAAGCTTCTCATTAAGGGTAGAATTGAAAGTTTAAGTTAAATTGTTTCTAAATTTAGAAGGGGGTCATTCATTTTGGAACGGACCAAAAAGGAAATAGGTTCACATAAACTGAAATGGAGGGAGTACTATTTTTCTGGTTTAAACACTACTATTTTTCTGTTTTTATGCAGTACTATTTCTTTATTTTTATGCAGGGTCTATGTTCAGCTGTTGAAGATCTGGGACATGGTGTATTTGTTGAAGATCTGGGGGGAAAGAAGCCACTACAAGAGGCCTAGGCTTCAAGGACATAGTTTATTTGTTGCACACTCTGGTTTTACAAGTATTAATGTAAGTGTATTTATTTTTTTTTCCTTAGATTTTATTGTCTAACATACTATATGATGTTATTGTCTAACTTTGAAATGTATCTTGTGGTTTGAATGTTATCAACATGGTTTTCCTTCAGCCAGAAAGGTTTATATTGGCCCTTTAATTGATTCTATCCATGTTACTAGTGATATTGGATATAAGCCTTCTAAAGGTTTGAAATGGAAAGGGAAAGAAGCTGTGACTCAAAGACAACTTCAAGTCCGAGCTGCAATGGCTAGAATCAAGACAAGGTCTCAATCCGCTGGAATACAAACAAGATCTAAGGTTATGGGGAAATCTCCCTCCAAGAAGACCACTTGAATTTCTTTACTGTTTGGATGTAGTATTTGATATACTA